GCTGAAAATGCTTCGATACCAGTCAAAATATATATATATGTAGTAGTGCAGAGTTATATACTGTACAGTTAAATAGTGCAGATAAAAAATATATTAGTAAAGTGACATGAGGTAAAGTGACATTGTTCTGTGACATTCTGAAGTGTGCAGTATTGCACATTGCACATGATTTAAGAATTTACTTAATTACAGATGAATGAAATTTACAGGCTCAGCAGTTCTTATTGTACAGTCTGACAACAGCAGGAAGGAAAGACCTACGGAACCTCTCCTTCACACAGCGAGGGTGAATTAGTCTGTCACTGAAGCTGCTCTCCAGAGCAGAGAGAGTGTCCTGCAGGGGGTGACAGTCATGGTCCAGCATAGATGTTAGTTTGCTCAGGACCCTCCTGTCCCCCACCTGCTGCACTGTGTCCAGGGAACAGCCACAGAGACAGAAATCTTCTATCTCTTGTAAAGTTTCACATACAGTTTTTTTAATGTTTTAATGTTGCAATGTATATTGCACTGTTAATTCTATATGGTGCCCACCTCCTGCTGACACCTTGTCCCTCTAGACAAAGAACAGCGACATTCGCAACGGCTTAATAACCATCCAGACCTTGTTCGTTAAGGACTATATATTTTTGACAGACCTGCACATGGCAATTTAAACTCTTATGAAAGTGGAACAATTGTATGGTCTCTAGAACTGGTCAATTGTTACATTACATGCTTTTGTTCTTCATTTCAACTGCTACGTTCACATCTTTTTTTGGTCGTTGTATGAATAACATGATAGAAATGGCATTTTACACAGCCTTTTGAAGGTGTAAAGTGAATGTTGTTCAGTAAGACGACATTTGTAAGAAAAAGGGTCCCATTTCAGTTTGATTGAATAACATTGGGTTGATCGCACACTGGCAGTTTAATAGAGTTTAATAGCATACTTGACAGTTGACTGGGGCGTTGCAGACCAAGGGGTATATTTATCAGAGGAGTGTGTGTGTGATTTGGTTAACAGCACCCCTTAACTTTGCAGCCAACTGATTCATTATGCACACGATATAGCACAAACATTGCACTATTTTACTTTGCTCCTGAAGTTAGGGATTGATAAATATGAACTGAATGTAAACACAAAACCAACAAAACCATAAGTTGGCTGATTCGTTTGTCTTTTTGATCTGGATGGATGAGCTGGAGGAGGTGTGCAATGTGCATTAATCGGGAAGTCTGGGAATCTCTGCTTAGACTGCTGCCCTCATGAACTGGCAATGTATAAAGCAGAATTAAAATGGATGGATAATAATATTTTCCTTGACTTCATTCTTTGTATGGGCATGTTGTTTCGGTGGTGTGGATCTATTGGCACCCGCTCCATCAACACTTCTACTTTAAAGTTACTCACTAAGTCATTATTATATTGTTTTTGCCTCTGGATTTGTTGGATTTGAACACTGCAGCCTTAAATACTGTAATAGCTCAATTGAGTTGTGCTCGTTCCAAATGTCCCATTGTCCTGAATACACAAAGCTCTGTAGATTTCTCTCTGCAATGCTGTGTCCGGAGTGACGTCCAAATCTATTTTAATAACAAGACTTAGCTTGACAAAGAATAGCGTTCTATCTGAGAGTGTGGCTGTTTGCAACCTGTGACTGACAATGCAGAATAGATCTTTGCCCTTAATCAAACACTGAACATTCACCAAATGCATATGCGTACCATTGTTGTTTATAGCTTTTCTTTTAGATTCTGTTTACTTTTTCCCTCTGCCATTTTCACTTACTCAAACATGGCTGCAAGCACAATCTCTGAATCAATTTCCTATCTTTTGAAATTCATCATCCCAGGTAACACGTCGTCAATGTGCTTTGAATTTAGGCATAATTGGAAATAGAAAATCATTGCAATCGCACAACTATCATTTCACTCCATCTTTGGGGCTTTCACTGTCGAAAAGCTGTGCCCACAGATGGACAAGAGCTCATTATAATCTGTAAAAGTGCCAAGGTTCAGCCACGGTCCTGATACTGTTGCTGGTCCTCTGCACCCAACCACCGCACCAGCTAATTAGCATAGACACTACCTTTCTGATCAACACAAAGCTTTCTTCCTTGTTGCCAATGATGCTCTGTGAATGTAAATGAGCCAATTAGCGTGCGCTTCTCCCCTGTATCCAGTTCACAGAATATCTGATTGAGTTTCTGCAGTGCGGTAATAAAGCCTCAAGTGTCGCTGGCCCTGTCGTGTAATCCTTTAGTGCAATGTTAACAGGTTGTTTTGATTCAGATGCCTAAAGTTGACAAACATATAGTATGCTAAATCCACTCCAATCTAATTTATTTTATAGAACATTTCATAAACACAACAGTTTCAAAAGTTCTGCACAATAAAAGACCACACCCACATAATGAAAAAGTAAAAAAGACAGTCAAATTATTTAAAAAATGCACTATAGGATAACTTCCAGCTTTTACCAATGTTACAATAGTTTGGACTTTGGACTCTTTCTCGCAGTAAAAGATTGATTGATAGCTTTTTATTTTACATATACATTATTTTCACATGTTTAAAATGGCCCTAACCCATCATGACCCTTTCCCCCAAATCCTATGACACTTCACTTGATTTTTCTCTCATATCTCAAATGTATGAATATTTTTCCACTATAAATAAAACACAAACAAATACAAACAACAGCTACTATGCTCCAGCTATATTGTATTGTATTGTATTTATTGTATTGAGGGAAAATGGTAGCTCTCTTTTCCTCTCAGGGCACACAATCATGTAGGATTTCCACCGTGTCTGTGGTCTGCACTTTTGTCTCCTGTGATAAAACCGAGTTATAGCAGTTCCTCTTCAGCCACAGTGTTTTTCTATCAGCTGTTCTGCTCTTGTCCCTCGTCAAGACGTCTTTCCCCAAATCAGCAACAGCCAATGGCATAGGTTTGTTTGCAGATTTGGTGGGAACACAAATTATTTTTTATTTTTTTTAAATTCACCTCATTGTGCGCTCTGCAGAGGAAGAGATGGGGCGCAGCCTTCCATCGCTGCAGGACCTGTACGTCGCCCGAGCTCGAGGCCGGGCTGGTCGTATCACAGCCGACCCCTCTCACCCTGCACATGGACTATTCCAACCAGGACTAGAACCTCCCGCCACAAGAACAGTTTCTTCCCCTCTGCTGTTGGACTCTTGAACACTTCTTAACCTGTCCCCCCGCCCTTTATAAAGTCACTTTACTGCCCTTTATAAAGTCACTTTACTGCCCTTTATAAAGTCACTTTACTGCCCATCATACGTCACTTTCACCTTACATTGTGTGCACCATGTGCACTTGTATATTGTAAATAGTAACTGTAACTCTATTTTAAATTTAAATGTATTCTTTAGAAGTGTTTTTTATTCTTATTTTTATTTTCTCTTTTTGACTGTTGCACTGAGCCAAAGCAATTTCCTAGTCTGTGACCTCCTGTTACTTACGTGGCAATAAAAATGATTCTGATTCTGATTCTGATATTTAGACTGTGTTTGTCTTGTAATTCACAACTTTTATGATTTATATAGTATATCTGATCACATCACACCTTCTCATCTTTGTGTCCTCCTCTGAATTAATAAAATTAGCTCCTTTGTTCAAAATGTGTTCTGTGATTTTAAAATATATTGGTGTCAAGGATTATGCTTGTGATTAGACGTTAACACCTTGCTGCATTATGGATGAATTACTCAGATGTCATAATTAAAAGCAGCTAACATAATTAAACCGTGATCTTTTGGTTCTTTTCAATCTCTTCAGTGGTTGGATAAAGACGCAACAATTATTACATGTATTACTATAAACACTTTCATTGTTATTTGTTGCAATGTATATTGCACTTTTAATTTTATCTGCCCACCTCCTGCTGTCACCTTTTCCCTCTAGACAAAGAACAGCGACATTCGCAACGGCTTTTTTTGACAGACCTGCACATGGCAATTTAAACTCTTATGAAAGTGGAACAATTGTATGGTCTCTAGAACTGCCATGGTCAATTGTGAAATTACATGCTTTTGTTATTAATTTCAACTGCTACGTTCACATCTTTTTTTGGTCGTTGTATGAATACCATGATAAAAAATGGCATTTTACACAGCTTTCTGAAGGTGTAAAGTGAATGTTGTTCAGTAAGAACGTCATTCGTAAGAAAAAGGGTCCCATTTCAATTTGATTAAATAACACGTTCTATTGCTGAATCAATCTTGAGTTGATCGCACACTGGCAGTTTAACAGAGTTGAATAGCATACTTGACGTTGACTGGGGCGTTGCAGACTAAGGGGTATATATCAGTGACGTGCGGTCAGATGAAGATCATGGAAAGAAAAAAGAATAAAATGGAAACAATAATACTTGGTCATTTTATCAAGTGATTTGTGCTATTGTATTATTTCAATGTAACTTTTCTTTATTTCATTTTTCTTTTAACTGAGCCTCACTTGAGAGACGTAAAAGCCCATACTGTAGCTCACTGTGGGAGAGGCCCGTGCGCTGCTATCAAAATGTTTTCTCTGTTTTATCGCTGTCTACAAAGTTCACATATTTCCTTTACAATGTACATGTCTACAGTTGAGAGGATGGGTCATAAATTGTGTTTTTGACAACAAACATGGTTCTTAATTGCGCTCAACCACAGCTTGTAATATCACCAAGTGAGGTCAGCCTCAGGGTAGGGGGCGCTTGTGAGCCCAAATTTCGACTGCATCAGATTTCATCCGAAAGCTCCTTTCTTGTTCTTCTTCTGCTAAGGGCAGCTACAGGTTTGGCTAACATGCATATAACACATTTTCAGATGATTTAAAATGTACTTGTCATAGAAGGGGCAGATGTCAATCTAACATCTTGTTATGCTTCATCTATATACATTTCATGCATGGAAACAAGTAATTTGTTTCAAAAACACAACATTTTGTGTATTTATTCGAGTAATATAATGTATTATTTTGTGAATCCGAAAATATTTCTTTTTTTGTTTTTAGCTTCTCCAAGGAAAGTCTATCCCTAAACTTGGCACGCTGGACCAGATAGAAACAGGAAGTGGAGACTTGGAGGGGAGATACAGTGGAGACTGTGACGATGAGGACGGCTGTGGAGGATCTGGAGGAGATGAGGTCAAGAGGAAAGTCTCCAGAGTTTCAAAATGTGAGTCATTCTTTTGTGTTATTATGACACTTTCCCATCAATGGATGTACATGCACAAGAAAATACATTCACTTGTATGTGTATGTACTGTATTTTATGCTGTTTTCTTTTTCTTTTCTTTTTTTATCTGTTGTGCCAGTGAAGCACTTTGGGCAGCTGGTGTAAATGTGCAATGCAATTAAAGTTGACATTTACATTGACATAAAAGCTGCCTACATCATTAGTCTATACAACTTGCCCACTAGCTTGAGTTCACGTCCAACTTCCAGTCTCAATTACCATAAATATCCCTCTCTATGATTGGGTCCTCTACCAGAGGCCTGGGAGCTTGAGGGTTTTGCGCAGTATCTTTGCTGTTCCTACCACTGCACATTTCTGTACCAAGATTGTTCCAGGGATCAGCTGTAACCACTCCCCCAGCTTTGGGGTCACTGCCCTGACTGCACCTATCACCACAAGCACAACTGTTTACCCTCCAGGCCCTCTCCAGCTCCTCTTTGAGCCCTTGGTATTTCTCAAGCTTTTCATGCTCTTTTTTTTCCTAATGCTACCATCGCTTGGAATTGCCACGTCCACCACCACAGCTTTCTTCTGCCCTTTGTCTACCACCACTATGTCAGGTTGGTTCTCCATTACCATTGGGTCGGTCTGTATCTGGAAGTCCCACAGGATCTTCGCACGCTCATTCTCCACCACCTTTGGAGGAGTTTCCCACTTAGACCTTGGGGTTTCCAGCCCATACTCTGCACAGATGTTTCTGTACACTATGCCAGCCACTTGGTTATGGCGTTCCATGTAGGCCTCCCCTGCCAGTATCTTGCACCCTGCAGTTATGCATCTCAAATTCCTCTTCGCACAACCGACACCTTGGGTCTTGTCTGGTGTAGTATATCTGGGCCTCTATCGCTCTGGTGCTCAGGGCCTGCTCCTGTGCAGCCATGATGAGTGCATCTGTGCTATCCTGTAGGCCAGCCCTTTCTAGCCATTGGTAGGACTTCTTGAGATCAGCCATTTCTGCTATGCTCCGGTGGTAAATGCCATGTAGGGGCTTGTCCTCCCATGATGGGCTCTCCTCCAGCACCTTCTCATCTCGCCACTGCCTGAGATATTCACTGAGTACGTCCTCTGTTTGGGCATTCTACTTGATGTAGGTATAGTTTAGATGTTTTGTCCTGGACATTGGCTCTCACGCTCACTTGTTCTTGGTCTCCTCCTTTACTGTCTGTCTAAAGCCATCCTAATATTTTTTATGCAATGTGGGACCCTTGTTTGTTAAGCCGGCACAAGCCCTATTCATTTAACGAGTGCCTTCAAAATTTCACAGTGACTAAACTAGACTGGTCTAAAAGAATTCACCCCCCTCAGCATTGACACACATGTGGAACGGAGCTTTGGGCCAAGAGCCGTCTTTTGGACTATCCTGTAAAGGTGTTTTCGAGAGGTAAGCCGATGCTATATGTTAGCATTGAATAAATCTTATTCCGGGTCCACCCCCATCGGCCCGGGGTGGTATTGCAAGCATGTCAGTGCAAGTCATTTTGGCCACTTTTGAGCCGGGACCCACCCCCACTGAAGTAGACACAACATTATTGTGTCATCCGAGATATAACAATATTGTTATTTGGGTTTGCACTCCTGCACCCATGTGTGTACAAGGAAAATAAAATAAGAAAACTCACAGCACCTTGGGGCCACCCCTGTATTGCATGTCTCTACTGTTGAAGGAGGAGTAGGAGCCATTTACCCTTGGTACCCACTTACCAAGAACAAATAAACCTAATAATCTAAAAAAGCCAATCACTGTCAAATACAAAACATAAAATCACATTTCAATAAATACTTAGCAATATCGTTAGAATTTTTACAAAAAGAGAAAAGTATTGCAATTGCGTATGACAGTACTTTGCTGTGCTCGCTCCTCTCTGGCAGCTGTAATAGTGGTCATTATATTTAATAGTTGCTATGAGAACATTATTGCTATCAGGGCCTGTTACTGTTTAAATGATGGCTCTCTGGAGAAAAGCGCTCCCTGATGTATCCGTTCTTTGTGTTGCCTCTCCTCTCTTTCTCTGCACTCTCCATCACACATGCTAACAACCTGATTAATCACCTCTATCTTGCTCGGCCTTTAGCGACAGAGGAGAGAGAGAGGAGAGAGAGAGGAGAGAGAGAGGAGGGGTCATCCAAACAAGCCCTCTCTCCACATAAATGTTTCTTCGGCTGTTGTCAGTTTCTCTCCAGGCTTTAACTTCGTTTTGCTTTGGGAAGACGCTTAACAATCGCTCATCTCTGGCTGTAGGGAGCCGCTGACATTTATTATCCATTACAGCAGGGCGGCGCTCTGGCTGTCACTGTTCAGATGGGGCTGTCTGGTATTTATGACCCTGTGTCTGTGCTGACCTCTGTGTTACATCTGTTCCCTGGTGCCTGACCCCTCACACTGAGGGGGCCAGAGCACTCCACCTGCTGGATCCAGATTTACACTGGACTAAACATGGCCCATGTGCCTCCTCTGTCTAGGGAAAACATTTCATTTTTAATTCAATTTTTTTTTAAGACCTCTGTTTGATCGAAATGCATTAGTTTCCTGGTAATCCCGGGATCTTTATTTACCAGTTGGAGGGCCTCAGGTCTACTTGCCCATTTCACAGTTTAATATGGGCTAACTCTATTTTTGTTAATCAAACGATATGAGCACCGCACTGTAAACATCTATTTTTCAATGGGGCCGAGTGTTAGAGTTTACCTCAATAAAGTAACTCGCTCATGCCACTCAAATTTGACCAACAAATGACTTTATATTTAAAGGCGCTATACCCGTTTCTGCAATGTTTGAATGTTTAGCACCGCCCCCCAACTCGCTCACAGGCTTCTCATTTCCCCTACGCTCTCATAACACGGAGCCACCTAGTTTTATTTGCGATCTGATATGTATGCTAACATTAGCATTAGCGCAACTTGTAAGCTGTGCAACAATCACTGATGAAATGGCACTAAAGCAACGCACTGCTAACACAATATATAAGTAAAAGAATACCATTAGTTTCGCGTCCGGATGTATTAATTTAACTAAACATTAGAATATATTCTAATATTTAATTATAATTTATTATACAGCTCCTCACAGCAGCAGCACTCCATTGACTTGAATGCAATTCTTCCGATCATTTTTTCTTGATAACAAAACTCTCAAACCAATAATGACCGCAGCCCCAATGCAATCTCTGTTTGTAATTCAGGTGTGTAAAATACTGCCATTACTTTGCAAGTACAAGCTATCAGTGGCTGTCACTACATTGTGCAGTTTTTCTGCACACTTGTCTGTGTAGAGAAGCTAGCGGAGCTAGCCACGCTCAATAAACAACTACGTATCAATCAATCAACACCATTAAACGTTAATCAGACAATACAGTATACATATACATCCTTAACACACATGCAAGGACTATTTCAGAATTTGTTGTCAACGTTTTCATGACAAAAATACTGTTTTAATGTGACAAAAAGCAATCGCGAAAAACCCGGAAGTTACCATGAAACAGCTAGCTAGCTTAGCTGTTACCTGCCTAGCACGTCCTGGTGAAACCTTTGGGAGCTAACTATTTTATTTGCAGTCATTAAATAAATTTCTAATTATAAGGGTTGTCTAATATTTGTTCAAATATGTATATATTTTTTCTTTAGAATTATATTCGAATTTTGAAGTCGAAGCCCTGGTGTTAAGCAGCGCTGTAGAGGCTAGAGGACGCAGGCTGTTCGCTGCTCGTTCTGTGTGCGGAGGAGCACGAGCGGCCCGCTCAGACTCTACTCAGCACTTTTCACGGCCTGAAATTCATACACAGTGGAATCAATGACCTCAAGTTTTCAATTAAATTATGTATTATGATACAACTTGTATGTAGTAAAAAGCATTTTTATGAACTACTTAGAAAAAAAATCGGGTATAGCTTTTTTAACTTTAGTGTGTCACGTTCAATAAAAAATAAAACGTTTTACCATGTCATTGCATCTTTCCATTGTACATATTCAATCCTGGAGTCATATCTGGCTTCAGCTACTATATTCTTCTGGACAAATGCTTTTTCCTTAGTTCACAGTATTTGTTACTTCTGCCCAGGAGGGTGTGGTGGCACAGGTGTTTGTCTGTTTATTTAGAGTTTATAGCCAAACAACATTATGGCTAAGCATGTTTTCTATGTGTGGATTTCCTCAAGTCCTGAAGTGCTGAGTCATGAAAGCTCTGCTGTTAAAACCACTTCATTATAGAGTGTCTCCTATAGACAGAGCTGAGGCGCGCACTAAAGCATTCTATGGATTGGAGACATTTCTGAAACCATTAATTAAAACAAAATATGCTAAAAACTCTCTTGTGGTGCAATTAGCTACTTTTGACTTCATGAGCATTAGTAACTAATTGCTATTTTCTAATAATTCTCTCGAGAATTGGATTGCTTTCTGGTTGGTTTTAATTACACAGTCCAATATAACTCAAGCAGGGAAATAACTACAATGCGACTTTTGGCACACTTTTGTTCAGAAACTCTGTGTTTTGTCCTTGTGTGAAAACTCGTGTGTAATTTTTGCCTGACAGTTGCATCAGCCACACCTCTGCACATTGACCATGAGGATGAATCACAGGGGCGCAGAGGTAATGCATTAATCAAGAAGCTTGATAATGATACTGTCAAAACAGAAAGGATGCAACACCAAATCATAATCAAACAGTTTCAAACTCACCAGCTTAAAGTTAACAGTGACAGGGAAAAATGCTGTATAAAAAAAGCCCTGAACAGTGTCACCGTGTTGCAACATCTCAGGAATCGCAGTTTGACTGTTTGAGATTGTTTTTTTTCCCCACAGTATTCTACTCTAATTTATATATACTTTTGTTTTTCAGCATATATTATGTGGCTGTGGTACTGGCTAAATTAATGTATATAATGAAATAATAAATAAACAGAAACGCCTCCAGGACTTACTCTAGAGAATTTATCTGATTA